CTGACCCCGACTTAGCCACCGTCCTCTCATGGGTAGAAACTGGTCACAAGCCCCCCCTGTGGACGCTCTGGAACGCGTCGCCCTACGTCAGGAAATTGTGGTCACAATTCAGTCGTTTAACCTTACATGAAAATGTCTTATGTAGATTGTCGCGCACCCCTCGTGCTGACGAGGTCCTCCAAATTGTCGTTCCGACGTCCTTGGTGCCGGACATTCTGACTCATGTTTACGGTGATCCTTTGGTTGGCCACTATGGTCAAGCTCAAATGCTGAATAGGGCTAGACGATTCTTTCATTGGGCCTACATGACTACGAACATTTCTAAACATTGTGCTCAATGCACAGCCTGTCAGTCACCGCATTCGCCTGTGCCCCCACCACAGGCCCCGCTCATGTCTATATCTCTAGATCGTCCATTCGAAATTGTCGCCATGGATATAACTGAGCTACCTCCATCGACAAGAGGCAACCGTTACGTCTTAGTGATGATGGACCTGTACATTAAGTTTGTCAATCTGTATCCCATTAAAGTATCAGACAGCTATCTCGGTGGCAGGTTGCATCTTTGATCATTATATAAAGCAACATGGAGTTCCGGATGCCTTGCATTCCGATTAAGGCAGACAATTCGAATCAGACCTCATTAAAAACCTCTGTAAGTTAATGGACATTAAAAAGTTCTGTACGCCCAATGTGATGGGGCTGTGGAGCGCATTAACCGCACCTTAAAAGATGAGCTCGCCAAATACCTCTGAGTCTGGTAGAGAATGGGACGAACACCTCCCTCATGTTGCATTACCTTACAACACCACTGATCATTCCAGCACCGGGTTCACGCCATTCTTTTTAGCACATGGGCGCGAGGCCCACGTCCCCTTGGACGTGCTGTTTCAAAATGGCTCCTCTGTCAATTCAGCAACTACGGGTACGCCCGCAGCATTTGCTAACTCACTACAACAAAGATTATCCGCTGCCTATCGATCGGCAACTGCTTTCAGGGACAAAGCGCAAGAACAACAACCACATTACTATGATCGCCATGTTAAATACACACCGTACAAGGCAGGCGACTTGGTACACATTGATTACCCAGCCAACAAGCATAACAAACTGCATCCTCGCTGGGTGGGTCCTTATGAGGTTTTACACTCAATTGCACCGCCGGGTAGTCTTATTCCCATGGATTTTGCCATTCATGATAAGTCCAAACCACACGCCAAGACCAAAGTCATTCACTATAACCGCATGAAGCCATGCATTACTGGTCACTCACAATCACACACACACCCCTCACCTCAGTCCATTACCAAGCCAGCCATCCTCAATACACTATCCTCCTCCCACCCCATGTTACGCCAATGACCCCCGGGCCTTCCACTGGGCCACAGTTGCCACGTTTGCCTCCAGCAAACCGACCTTTGGCGCAATATGGCCCATTACAGGATGTTTCAATGGACAATGCTAGAGACATTGGCCCTGCACCATCCTTGGTACAGCCGCCTCAGACGCCAACTTCAGCGGTAGTAGGAGTACCCACTAGGGCCTCAGCACCCCTTGTCACACAGCCATCCACACCACATGTACGCCCAAGGTTGCATCGACTGCCGGTTTATTTAAAAGACTTCAAAAGTGTACTAAGTGCTTTACTTTCAGTGTGCTGGTGTGACATGTTTGTCATTATGCAGTACGCATGGCTTAATGTGTATGTGTTTTATATACCACTGTAAGTTGTTTACCAGTATAATGGGCTCATTGTTCTCATGGTTATATAGCAGTGTTAAAAAAAAACAAAAAAACGTGCTATCACAGTTCACTGTTATCACTCGTTTATTTTGAAGAATTTGTGTCAAATGCATTAGAAATTAGGACATTTCTTATAGGAAGGGGAGTATTATGATAGAGAGTAGAGAGCGGGAAGAAACGAGAGGGAGAGAGAGAGAAAGGGGAGAGACGCACGAGGTAGTCGGGTGGAATGAGGCAGAGACACATGAAAATGTTAGAAAATAAACTCTGAAATCGAAGCACAGCAGTCTTGGTCTGACTCTTCTATCCAGTGGCTATAACAGATACAGGAAATAGCCAAGAACCCGCAGATAATACTCGGTAAGCACGGACTGTCCAAGGCCAACCAGAACTGAGTATTAAAGGTATATACTCGGACAAGAAGACAAAATAACCCACATAAAGAGGATATGACATGAATTTTGTTAAACAAACAAAAGCAATAATTTCTTTAGCACATCTCGCTTGAACAAGAATGAGTGAATTACATAATATTAACATGAAAAATTAAATAAGTTACTTATGTCTGCAAACACTCAGTCTCCTGCTGAACACAAATTATGTTTGGCCCATCCACCAGATGGTGCCAGTTATCTTAAAACTGATAACCAAAGTAGAAAGGTGTAAATATCATTCAAAATGGTAAAACTGATGATTTATTTAGCTCTAGTAAGATAGACTAATGGCTGTCTGTCTTTAGCTGCTTCAGATTCAGGTTTGTCTTCAGCTGCTGTAGTAGGAATATGTGTTGCTGCTGTTGTTCTGCTAGTGGCTGCAGTTGCTCTAATTTACTGTCACTGCTGAACTAGCACCTATGGACGAGCAAATAAAAATGGCAAGTATTACATACAGCTGATATAACAAGGAGAACACGAGATGTTGTGTAATTTTTTTTAAAGGTTTGACAATGTTTTCATAGTCAAAACATCAGTGCAAAGAAACACCAATAATACATCAGTTGTTCTGTTACTTTAGACAGAAGAACAGTGTTACAGTGTCATAAATATAATTTGATCAAACTTTTCAAATAGGATGTGATGTGGCCAGTCTAGAGTCAGGATGTGATATAGATGTACACTGTAAATAATTATTCTAGTTTTACCTTTATTTTTGTCACCACATCAAAGCAGAACGTCACAGGTGAGACAGTTAAAGCACAAGCCAATTTCACAAATAAACTAAATAAAAATATAAAATCAACTTCTGCATTAGAGATCACACATGATACAGTACTGCCTTTTTGATACATGCCTTTGTTAAATCAGTTTCAGAATTCTAACAATAAATAAATCTGATTGAAATGTAATGAATCTGATTAAATTATAAATATTTAGGGATTTCAAACTCTGAATTTCTAATCAAATATTAAACATTTCAAGCTTAATTTATTCAATGACTGTTGCTGCTTGTGTCTCTTGTTTTCTGAACTCTTGTATTTGTGCTTTTGTGTAACATCCTGTTCATTTCTTTCACATTCTGTGAATCTGTTTTCTTAGAGGTGAATCATGACATCAATGAGCAGTGTTGGGGGTAACTCATTACAAGTAATGCGAGTACTTTTTTCAAGTAACTAGTAAAGTAACGCATTACTTTTTTAATTTACAAGAAAATATCTAAGTTACTTTTTCAAAAAAGTAATGCCAGTTACTTTGTTTTCCCATTTATTGACTGACAAGTCTCCTGTCCCCATATTGGGAGAAATCGGAAGTGCAGAGGAATTGTGTGCGCTGTGTGAACATAATGTTACTGTAGTTCTAGACTAAATGTGAATGTGCATGAATTCATCCCACTCACAAAAAAACAGATTTAGTATTAATCTAAATGAATTAAAACAGTGAACTGCAAACTCAGAATATGACGCAAACCTGCAATAATTAAATATGTTAAATAACACAAATGTATCTAATCCCATTTTATTAACCAATATCTTTGCTGCTGAACTTTGAAACTGCACATTTTAGAGTGGTCTTTTATTGTGGCCAGCCTAAGGCACACCTGTGCAATAATCATGCTGTCTAATCAGCATCTTGATATGCCACACCTGTGAGGTGGATGGATTATCTCGGCAAAGGAGAAGTGCTCACTAACACAGATTTAGACAGATTTGTGAACAATATTTGAGAACAATAGGCCTTTTGTGTACATAGAAAAATTCTTAGATCTTTGAGTTCAGCTCATGAAATATGGGGGCAAAAACAAAAGTGTTGCGTTTATAATTTTGTTCAGTGTACTTTTGCTTCAGCCTGAGGTTTTTTCATTACACTTTATGAAAAACAATCAAGCCCTGCTTATATTTAAAAAGTAACGCGAAAATAACACAAAAGTAATATAACGCATTACTTTCCATAAAAAGTAACTAAATAACGTAATTAGTTACTTTTTTTTGGGAGTAACGCAATATTGTAATGCATTACTTTTAAAAGTAACTTTCCCCAACACTGTCAATGAGTCTAATAATCAGAGATAGCTGATGGAGGCCAGTGGAGAGGAGAGGAATGAAACGGCATTAGGAAATGACACAAGCTGAAACAGACACTCTGATTAATAATGACTTCAAGATTGGTCTGTTCATCATACAAAGTGATCAGATTGCAAGGACTACTTTTTGAAATATTTGAAATGTTTGGACCCCATTGACTGTTGGTGATGATGACAGAAAATCCTCACGTGAGCATTTAAACCAGCTGCTTGTCAGACAAACATCCAAAGGGTACCAGAATGGCAGTGTTGTTCTTTTATATTTTTAGATGATTCAGAAAGGTAAATGTTCAATGTTCAAAAGTTATTATTGTAATGTAAATACTGTGAAATAGTCAAGCTTTTAAGAAAAGTCATTTTTATACTGTCAGATGCTCAGGCTCTTCATATTTCTAAAAGTTTTAATAATTAAGCTATGTCTTAATATTGTAAATTGTAAGTATATAAGCATCTTTTCATACCAGGGAAAATTTGCATTGTAAATGAGGTTTATATTGTGCCAAGGACCTGCATTTACACACTGGACTTTTCCCACATTTTCTGTGTTCTTAAATGTTTTCTTTGTCAGCCATGAAGGAAAACTGCCATAAGGTCAAGCAGAGTTTTTGGAAATGCTTTGTATGTTCATGCATTAGCTATAAATGAATAATTTTTACTCATAACAGACATGATTTGTGTGTTTGTTTTTAGAAATATATGTATTTTTGTTTTTGTTTAGTCATGTCTCTTATCACTGATATTCATTTGTCATGATCTGAAATGTGGAATGGGGGAATAATGAATGGGAATACTGACATTGCTTGCTCTTGGTATGAAAATACAACTGTTGCCCCAAAGTAGAAAGCAGCAACCATATAGTGTTGTTGTCTGTGTGTTTTCATACTATTCTGTCCAGCCAAACATGTGTTTTTTTTTTTTTTTGGTGCTTTACAGAATTGTCATGTGATCTCGTGAACGTGTGTACCACAGTTAGCGGAAGCTAGAGACTATGGTTTATTAAGTTTTAGATATGGATATTATTCTTACACAAAGGCCTTTATTAACCCCCCTGAACTGTGTGGAGCACTTTTTATAATAGATGGATGTACTTTATTGGACGTAATCTCAACATTCATTCACTGCCATTATAAAGCTTGGAAGAGCCACGCAGGACATTTTTAAATATAACTGTATATTAAAAAAATTATTTGTATTTGTCTGTATGAAGAAAGTCATATACAGCTATTCCCCTTTTTGGATTTGTCTTTTGTTTTGTGCTCATAGTAAATATGTAATTGTATAGGGACTGCTGATGAAAATTAGCCCGAATGGCTACATCTGGCACATTTACATAATATACTAGACTGCTTATGTTAATTAATGTGCATTGCCCCTTTTAAAATAAAAATAAAGAAAATAAATAAATAGAATAGGTAGATGTTGCGGCTTTTGTCAATGTTTTGTCATGTCAGGGTTAAAATATATTGTCATTTGTAACATACACCTTGCCATGATATAAATCAATAAGAGCTGGACATAGAGCGTTAAATTCCATCAAAGGGGTCATATGATACGATTTAAATTTTTCCTTTCTCTTTGGAGTGTTACAAGCTCTTGGTGCATTTTCAGACCGATGAGCTTTATAAAAATCGAAGCGTTTCAAAAAGGCGGGGCATAGAGGAGAAACAATAATGTACAGTATGTGGAAAATAATGTGTTTTTTTAACTTTAAACCGCATAAACACATTTCATCACTAATGTTTCAGTGTTTAATAAGCTATTCGTATAAATTATCTGTGAATATAAAGAGGTTTTATTTTGTGGTATGAAAAAATCATGTGTTTTTGAATGAGCAGAATATTTTTAAATATGTATTATTTTCTTTAACTTTGCATCAGCCTATAAACAACATTTTCTTTCTGAAACAAGCAAAATTAACTTGAAAGATATTTGTATGTTCGTGTGATAGATGCCATTAAAACATCTGATTCACTCATTATAAATAGATCCTTTGAATGGTGAATTCCTAGTTTGGACACTAGATGTCGCTCTAATACAGTATATGGAATACACACACTTTATGGGGGCAGTTGTGGCCTAATGGTTAGAGAGTCAGACTACATTGTAACCCAAAGGCCCTGAGTTCGAGTCTTGGTACCAGCAGGGATTGTCGTGGGGGGAGTGAATGTACAGCGCTTTCCTCCACCCTCAATACCACGACTGATGTGAGACCCTTGAGCAAGAACCAAACCCCAACTGCTCCCTGAGCGCCGCAGCAAAAATGGCTGACCACTGCTCTGGGTGTGTGTTAACTGTGTGTTCACTACTCACTGCTGAGCACTTGAATGGGTGTGTGGTAGAAATTCCCCTACGCACCTGACTTAAGTTTTAACTGGGGCATCTACTGGCGACACTTACACATTTTATACTCTAGAGCATCTAGTGGCGACACTGTACTGAGTCGGATGACGTCTCGCCCCGTTTGAACACTATCACTCAGGACTAAGATATTTAGTGTTCGACTAACCTGCATAAACAGTGCACAGTGTTGCCAGATTGGACGGACGATTTCCAGCCCAAAAGCTCACCAAAACCCACTCCAACAAAAAACTGCTTAAAACTTTAACTGTCAAAATAATGTAATAGAATGTTGCCATCAATCAAGGTTGATAACAACATTTTAAGATCAAGAGGCATCTTGAGAAAACTGGGCGTGTTTGATTTTCATCTGCAGTGGTGGAAATGGCCGAAATTCACTGGGGGAACTCTAGTTTGGAAAGTGGCCTAATGACCTTTTAGATGTATTTAATTGGAAAAATCTTTATAATCTATAATAACATTACAAATATTTCATGTTTCTTTTAAACCATATGTTTTTTAGAGGGTATCAAGACAATGAACCCTGTAATTCTGGCCAAATTAAAGATACATTCTAACCTTAATAAATGTTTGTCATTTATAAACTTTTTCAATTTTTTTAATAAAAAAAAAATACATTTAATACAAAATCAGGAAAAATTACAGAACAATCAAATAAAATCAGTATCAACAAAATTCATCTTTGCACTGCAGAGGTGGCACAGAAGAAAAAAAGGCATTTAGGTTTATTTACTGGCTGTTTAATGAGGCTCAGAGTGACATGAATGAATTTAAACTCATATCAACATAATCAGATAAATGTTTTAAATATAAAGTTTTTAATTTAGAGATATTCAATGATTTTAATAACTTTTAAAATCTTTTTTTTGTTTTTCTAAAATAAATGTTTAAACTTAAAACTACAACCACCAGTAGGTTTCTTTGTCATTGAATTCATTTAATGGAGTCGTTCAAATGGCTGATTAATTTCATTAATGAAGCAAGTGACTGTATTTATGAATGGGTGATAGAATCATTGACTCACTAGATTCATTCAAAACGTAGATTCATTCTTAAACAAATGTTGTCAATACACTGCAGTACTGAGTCACCAAATGACAACAAAGTGGGCTACTAATCTACTAAATAAAATGTAAAGCCTCACAAATGAAATTAAAAGCAAAGCACATCAAAGAGTAAAAACGTCTCGAGGTTACGTATGTAACCATGGTCCCCTGAAGGGAACGAGACGCTGCGTCAAATGCTTTGGGAGCGCCCCCGGCGAGACACCGTACTGAAGCATGTGTGAAATCAGTCCAAAAGTGAAGCGAGACGTCACGAGTGGGGTGACGTAAGCAACCAGGAAGCATAAAGGCGCATCCGGCAAGTGCACATGTTAGCTTTGCGGAAGCGAGCACCTGCAGGGATGCAGGGAGTATGGCAGGGAGACGCAGCGTCTCGTTCCCTTCGGGGAACCATGGTTACATACGTAACCTCGAGATGTTCCCCTTCAGGAACTCGAGCTGCATCGAATGCTTTGGGAACGAGAATACCCACTGCGCCATACGAGCAAGTCCCTGTCTGGTGTGTATCTGGCGAGCACATCAAGATGAGAAGACTTGGGACCCTGGAGTAGATGTGAGGTCCAGACTGTAGAAATGGATGAATATGTGTGGAGAGGACCAGCCTGCCGCAGCACAAATATCCTAAAGGGCCATGCCCACTGATAAGGCCTTGGAGGCCGCCATACCCCTAGTCGAGTGCACTTTGACCCCCATGGGTGACTGGAGGCCAGAGGACTCATAGGCCAGTGTGATGGTCTCGACCACCCACCGACTCATAGTTTGCTTGGTTGCTGGAACCCTTTTCTTAGGTGGACCAAAGCAAACGAATAACTGATCTGCTTCACGCCACTGGGCAGCTCTGTGAACGTAAGTGTCCAGTGGTTGCACTGGACACAGAAGATTGAGTCTCTCCTAGCCTGCTTCCTGGAAGGGAGGAGGACAAAAGGTCTGAAGTACAATGGGACCTGGCGATGAGGTGGGCACTTTAGGGACATACCCGGGTCTTGGGTAAAGGAATGCCCTAACCATGCCCGGGGCAAACTCCAGGCCTGACACAGCAAGAGCCTGGAGGTCCCCTATCCTCTTCAGCGAGGATATAGTGAGCAAGAAGATAGTCTTAATCATGAGGAGCTTGTCTGGGGTATCTTCGATGGGTTCAAAGGGAGCTTTGCACAGAGCCTCCAGAACCGCTGCCAGATCCCATTAGGGCACCTTGGTGCACTGTACTGGCCTTAGCCTCCGGGTGCCACGGACGGAGTTCGTCCGCCCCCCCGGCAACTCACTCCAGCCCACCGCCTCGAGCGTCCACGGCGGCAGACTGCTCCGCCATGCTCGATGGCACCGCGGATTCACCACAGTGGCGAGGGATCTCTGGCAGCGTGTCCCTCCTTCCTCCTGGGTTTCGGCACCAATGTAACACACGTTTGTAGTCACGGGAAGAAGGAGGCGGGAACTGGCGAATGTTCAAAGAAAACTTTAATACCAAAATAAACACAAAATAGCGCGACAGCCCCTCGCGGACGACTGTCGCGCACAAACAGAACCAAAACACAAAATAAAATCCAGGCCTGGTCCTCTCTCGTCCAACACTGTTGTCACTCCTTCTTTTATCCTTCTGGAGCTCCTCCGTGAGACTCGAGACCGGTGAGTGGCGCAAGTGTCGCGCATTAGCAATTCCTCCACCGGCCTCGCTCGGCCCCGCCCCACTCGTCACACATACATTCACACACACACCACAAACGTGCTCGCTGAAGAGCAAAAGCTGACATGTGCGCTTGCCGGATGAGCCTTTATGCTTTCTGGTTACTTACGCCACCCCGCTCGTGACGTCTCACTTTGCTATTGGACTGATTTCACACATGCTTCAGTACGGTGTCTCGCCGGGGGTGTTCCCAAAGCATTCGACGCAGCTCGAGTTCCTGAAGGGGAAACTGTATTAGCGAAGACTAAGTTATTAGCTCATTGTTTGCTCTGCTGTGTAATCAATCAGGCTCTGACGGTTTATTATATTAAATTATGCATTGTTTTGACACTGTTGCACTTAATAGCCTACTTAACACTGAAACTTACTTTGAACAAGTTGAGCGTGCTCCAATATTTTCAGCTTCATTAGTTTCCGCATCAGGTCAGGTGAGCAAGCAGTTAATCTGTAGTGATATTTATCTTTTTAAAAGCTAATTTCTATGTAAGCCATTTTAACACATCTGTGATTATTGTTAATGCAGTTCAGACCCGGAGGTCGGACAGAACTAATTTAGCACTTTGTAATTTGAAAACACAAAAAAACGGTAAGATCATTCATGACTGTGTGTTGACATGGGTCTGTGGATCCAACCATCATCATTATTACCTTCAGTAGGGAGCAGCTCAGAAATAATAGTTTTAGCAGGTATTCGTGGTATTTACAAGTGTATGTTCTGTTTGAACTCTAGTGTAAATAATAGTTTACTAATACATAATTTATTCACTCACTGATTCAAATCATGTAAACAGTTCGGTTAATCTCAAATAACAAATAAAAAAGCCAGTTTCATACCAGTAGATTTTCACCAGAAAGAAAGATGGAAGAAAAGATATTAACCCATTTTTACCTTTGCTGAAGTTTATCCTTCAGGTCAAAACTGAGGTGGTTCATGATTATTCTTACTGCCATGTTTTGTTTTGTTTTATGTAGATGTGGTGCAACACATAGACCATATTTTGCTGTTGCTGTTGTGTAAACAGCCTTTTTCAATGCAAAAGCTGTTCAAACCTTCAGAACTTTGATACAATTTAGTGCATATTTTAGCTTCATCAACACTGTTTCTTTACTAAAGCCTAAACTGCTCAGCTTCAGTCTTATTTCAAGCCCTCAGGCAGTGTGAGTCACAACTGTGAATCCGTTTGATCATTTAACAGTTTAAAAGGTAATTTGATGGTTGTGGCTAGAAGGGATAGAGCTCCGACCAGAAACGAACAATGAAATGTAATTTTCTACCTATTAGATTGTGTTTTATTAACATCTACACCTACCCCAACCCTAACCCTTACGATAATGAAAAATAGTAATTATTGTTGTAGTGTGACAAAAATTATGCTGTATCGATGTGCACATGCCCGCTAGAGCCATACGTATCCCTTCTAGCCTTAACCGTCATTTGATGTATATGACGTGGATGTTTGATGTAATTTACTTTCACTGCTCTGTGGTAGCTGCATCTGTTCTTGTGCTTCTGTGTTGATGCTGCAGTTCTACATTGTTAAATAATTAAGAGACATTCAGATTATGATGGTTTCTAAGGTTCATTACCACTCACTTTATTATATCTGCTGACAGGGTAATATTCAGTTAAGTACGTTTTATAATCAACATAGTGATAAACGCCATTAGAAATGCAGGCAAAGCAGACTGAGCTTTGAAGAAGTTCTACAGAGATGTTATAACGTCTTGATGTAAAGGTTGGTCTACAATTAAATTTCACTTGAATTAAACAAAATACTATGATCTAACTTTTTTTTTTACTGCCGCTTCGGAACACAGCAGGTTCCTGACTGATTTGTCTTTCCTTGCAGAAATCAAAGATAGAGACTGTGTACGAGAATGTCCCCCAAAAAAAGAATGATCAAATCTACAAGAACGGATGTTAAATCTCATCTGAGACTGTCTCACACCTTTTGGTTTTGGTCACTGTAATATTTGCCCCTTTTGTAACAAAAATAAAGAAGCAGGCACAGACACGGTCCTGTATTCTCTTTTTTAGGGCCCGAGCACCACGGTGCGAGAGGACCCTATTGGAATTGCTCCGTTGAGGGCCTAAACATGCTGAAAAATATGGGTTTCAGAATTAGGTGTGGCAAAATGGCTTGATAGTGCAACCTCTACACATTCAGCGAAGTGCCTCTCGAGCTACGTTTCAAATACATGTATGAAATTCGGTAGACGCATGTAATGTCCCAAAACCACCAAAAAATCTCTGGGAGCAAAATCCGAAACCCCAACGGCACATCAGTTATTTTACATTTTCTCAGCAAACTTTTGTGTTGTTTTTGCCATTTTCAGGTGTTGAATTTTAACAAACTCCTCCTCGAGATTTAGTCAGATCAACCCCAAATTTAGTCAGTCTAATCTATAGACCTGTGTGATGTTAAATTGTCCCCAACCCTAACCCTTACGATAATGAAAAATAGTAATTATTGTTGTAGTGTGACAAAAATTATGCTGTATCGATGTGCACATGCCCGCTAGAGCCATACGTATCCCTTCTAGCCTTAACCGTCATTTGATGTATATGACGTGGATGTTTGATGTAATTTACTTTCACTGCTCTGTGGTAGCTGCATCTGTTCTTGTGCTTCTGTGTTGATGCTGCAGTTCTACATTGTTAAATAATTAAGAGACATTCAGATTATGATGGTTTCTAAGGTTCATTACCACTCACTTTATTATATCTGCTGACAGGGTAATATTCAGTTAAGTACGTTTTATAATCAACATAGTGATAAACGCCATTAGAAATGCAGGCAAAGCAGACTGAGCTTTGAAGAAGTTCTACAGAGATGTTATAACGTCTTGATGTAAAGGTTGGTCTACAATTAAATTTCACTTGAATTAAACAAAATACTATGATCTAACTTTTTTTTTTACTGCCGCTTCGGAACACAGCAGGTTCCTGACTGATTTGTCTTTCCTTGCAGAAATCAAAGATAGAGACTGTGTACGAGAATGTCCCCCAAAAAAAGAATGATCAAATCTACAAGAACGGATGTTAAATCTCATCTGAGACTGTCTCACACCTTTTGGTTTTGGTCACTGTAATATTTGCCCCTTTTGTAACAAAAATAAAGAAGCAGGCACAGACACGGTCCTGTATTCTCTTTTTTAGGGCCCGAGCACCACGGTGCGAGAGGACCCTATTGGAATTGCTCCGTTGAGGGCCTAAACATGCTGAAAAATATGGGTTTCAGAATTAGGTGTGGCAAAATGGCTTGATAGTGCAACCTCTACACATTCAGCGAAGTGCCTCTCGAGCTACGTTTCAAATACATGTATGAAATTCGGTAGACGCATGTAATGTCCCAAAACCACCAAAAAATCTCTGGGAGCAAAATCCGAAACCCCAACGGCACATCAGTTATTTTACATTTTCTCAGCAAACTTTTGTGTTGTTTTTGCCATTTTCAGGTGTTGAATTTTAACAAACTCCTCCTCGAGATTTAGTCAGATCAACCCCAAATTTAGTCAGTCTAATCTATAGACCTGTGTGATGTTAAATTGTGAAGATCTTGAGTTTCCTTGTCTGTGGCGGCTTAAATTTTGATGTTTCGCCATGAAACAGGAAGTTGTTGTAGCTCAGGCATACAATGTCTGATCTGCCCCAAACTTTACATGTTTGATAAGACTCCTGACCTGAACACACGACCATGACCATGACCATATTCAGTTATAGTCATAGCGCAACCTGCTGGCAACAGGAATTGACTTGTTTTACACTAACTTAGACATGCAATGTCAAATCTGCCCTAAATTTCTTGTTTAAAAAAATGCTGGCATGAAGACATCTAAAGGCCAATTTTCAGTTATAATCCTAGCACCACTTGTTGGTAACTAATGCAGAGTTCACACTGCACGATTTTCAAAGTCGTCGAATCACCGTTGTTTTCACACTGCACGACTATGGGTAGCATTCAGCTGCTTCAGTGTTCACATTGCACAATGCCTCACATAATCATTTGCCAGATTTGGGCCTCAAGTAAGCCTTCGCATTGCCACATGTAAGCCAACCAAATAAACCAAAACTGGCTCTAATGTGGGCCAGTTTATTTTTATTCTAACCCTGGTCTTCCCCACATTCCTCATGTGGCCCACATGCTGCATAGAATGGTGGCATTTTGTCAGTGGTCCACAAGCAGGCCGCTACACAGCCACATTTTAGCTAATAATGAACAAGATAAACCATGAATGTACATTATCTGGGCCACATTAAGCCTTAAGGGGTTGTTTTAATTTTTTGTCTTAACACTGCTTTCTGTGTATGTTATATAATCTTGCTCTTCTGTAAAGCACTTTGGTCAGCCTGGTGGCTGTTGTAAATCGACTATACAAATAAAATGAACTTGAACTTAGGTGAGTTATGCATCAACAATACTCAACATATTGTAAAAAGAAATTTAAAAATGTCCTCCCTAAATGTTCAAATAGGCTCCAGAAATGTGTCCTACTTAGTAAAATCATCCGGACCCAAGTTTTGCACAAGCAGCAATTTAGGTGTCACAGATAAATATTCAAAGACACATTCCAATACTTTAAAAACAGTTATTTACAAGTTTGAACCTAAATGCTTCTCACTTAGACTCTACCTACACAGTAAGTCTTTAAGTGTGACGGCTATGCTGTGTTAAAGAGCACACAACAAAGATGAAAGGTTATATATCAGAAGTCTTTAATCCAACAAGGATAAATCCAAATACAATGCAACATTTAAGACATGTAGACGTAAGACCAGACAAACTCAAAGTGAACATACAGAAACTTAAGTACTCAAACCAAACAAGGATAATTAACTAGGCACGCCTGAGCAGAATACTACAATCAACACAACAAGGGAAATGGTGCAAAAGGAAAACAAAGTCCAAATTAGCAGAAAGCGTGACAGTAAGAGTACAATCATTATAGTGCACTTCTGTTTTTATGCTGCACAGTGTATGCATCAGAATGTAAGGGTTTGACACCACTGAGGTTTTTTTTTCACAGTGGGAGGAAATTTCTCATGGCCCCTAACTGAGTTTGCCAACTGCTCTAATTTTATGGATACAGTATTAAGTTATATGATAATAACATGTGAAAAAAGTCATACATTTCAAACGACAGCTGAAAACTCATCTCTTTCGTCACTATTTGACTTCATCCTAGAACATACAGAAACTTAAGTACTCAAACCAAACAAGGATAATTAACTAGGCACGCCTGAGCAGAATACTACAATCAACACAACAAGGGAAATGGTGCAAAAGGAAAACAAAGTCCAAATTAGCAGAAAGCGTGACAGTAAGAGTACAATCATTATAGTGCACTTCTGTTTTTATGCTGCACAGTGTATGCATCAGAATGTAAGGGTTTGACACCACTGAGGTTTTTTTTTCACAGTGGGAGGAAATTTCTCATGGCCCCTAACTGAGTTTGCAAACTGCTCTAATTTTATGGATACA